GGTGAACGTGGTTCCGCGATAAGCACTTCGTGGGCTATCCCAGGAGGCAGTGCATTCTCTTGCCCAGTGGCCGAGCTTGTGACATTTAAAGCACCTTGCGCGGTCCACGTAAGCATCTCTACCGCCTGAAATCAGATGAAATAAGAGCAGTATCAAAAGCAGATAAAATGATAAACACACACGTAGAAAACCTGAGAAAAGGGAGGGTGGGTGGGGCCAGATCTAAAACGTCCGAAGCAGAAAAACAGCTCTAACGTGCTAAGGTCGCGAGCGAGAGAGAGAGAACAAACTGAAAACAGCATCTTAAATAGGTAGAACGAACCAATCGGAAGCTAAGATAAACGCACTACGACACCTATAAAGGCGACAAACTGTAAGAAAGAATGTGAAGCTAAAATAACAGTGGAAAATATATATTATAACGTAAGCTACAACAAAGCGGGGCGGAGCTAAGAACAATGCTTCAAAATACATCATTGTTTCACTCGACCAAGGGAACCATCTACACTGTGGCGCGCCATCTGTAGCAAAATCCATTTTCGACTATCCCATAATACTCCTTAAATCTAATAAATTCAATATGGCCGCCGCATCGGTAAAAAGGTCTATTCTTTCTCCCGAAAAGGTAGACTGCGAATTCAAAGACACGCGTGACAGTTGATTTTGGCGCCAGAACTAACGACTTAGGTCACATGACTTTGTCCGTCAAACCGAAAAGGTGATCTCACGTGGTCACAGTTTTTTTTCATTGCTGGCTTCGTTGCTCGCGCATCAGAGTGGTCAGAGTTTTTATATAGCGCTAGAGTGCTGAAACCGAAAGAACTTTCATCGATTGACTTTCACGAACGAAAATTTCTCCTGTTTGGCTGACAAAGAACACTGTTATGCATTTAACCTGACTTGGCCTATCTTTGGCCTACCAAACACTCAGGAATGTGACCGCGTGAGTTCACCTTTTTGGTTTGACAAACAAAGCCACGTGACTCGAATCGTTAACGTCTGGCGCCAGAAAAATCTCTGAATTAGCGGTCTCCCTGTGTCGGTAGTACTATTCACGCTCAAGTTTAAGGCCACTATTTGTATGCCATAACTTTTATAAAAAATATATCAAATGCAAGCTCAAATGTTTTATTAGCAGTGAATTTCCGTTTTCATACAATAATTAAGCACAACACTCTGCGACCTAGTGGTTTCTCTAGGAGCGTCCGGCCTGGAATGACCACTTCCCGTAACTGCTCGTGGCAGTTTTATTGAATTATACAAGATTTCCAAGATTACAAGATTTTCAAGCTTATATTGACTAACCATTCAATCTACTCTTTTTCTAAATTCAATCAAAAGATAGATAGATAGATAGATAAATAGATAGGCGGGTAGATAGATAGATTGACCTTTGATAAAATATTCTAAACTAGGATTATACTACGGAATCAAAGAAGCTGGGAACTAAGCGGTCCAGTTTAGTTTTATATAAGGTCATTGAGGCTTGCATCCACCACGGCAAATCCTCGGGTAATTTATTCCAAATAAATGGGCCCCTGAAACCAAAACGTTTTTTGCCATAATTAGTTTTGGGAAGAGGCAACTTGAATCTAGAAGAGGAGCCTCTAGTATAATAGGTAGACCTCATTATCAAAAAATTTTTGCATAGGTCTTCAGGTGCCATATTGTTGTATACCTAGAACATTTCTATAGCGAGTGGCTTAATGTCCGTCCCATTCTAACTCTTGCAGCAGGGGCCGGAGCTAGAATAATAACTGGAAAAGGTTATGATCCTAAAAGCTGCGCTATTTTGTACTTCTTGAAGCTTCAGAGCTAGGTCTGAACCCAGAAACTCCCAAACAGCGCTGCAATAGTAAAGGTACGGTTGGCTCCGATTGCGCTGGTTAATTTCTTTGAGCTCTCCTCTGTATGTGCTGCCCATGTAAGCGCCTCGTCAACATGTACACCTAGGGATTTGGTAGATGTTACTTTAGGTACATTGGCGTCTTCATTAAGGAGTGATGGGCAAGACATGCGAGAAGACCTCTGTCTAGATCCTACAAACAATACCTCTGATTTTGTTGTGTTCAGACTCAATCGGTTTGCACAGAGCAGTGAAAGAAAAACAAACGAAAAAATTTCCCACACAAAAAAATTAGTTTGTCACTCAAAAAGGAGCGTTTGTCCAAGGAATTAAAACATTTTTATTTTTAACTATAAAAGCTATAAACTCAACTCAACAACTGTTATTTAATGAAATTAAAGAAGAAAACCTTTCAACCTGACCATTCGGCGAAAAAAACTGTAACTAAAAGTTCAAATAATATGCTTAACTTTCGTAGACAGTGCATCAGCAAACAGCATGAGAACCACGGTTATCAGCAGTCTCCCTGGTCGAAACACACTATAGACAAGACTTTTCTCTCTATATAATCCTGTTCATAATTATATCTTTCCGCTATTCCTTCTCTAGAATTGTGCAGTAAGATACAAGCGTAAACGAGCAGCTCGAGATTAAAGCAATACCGTTCGTGGTACAAAAAAATATCCCGCGCGGCTGATAGTCCAAAAACGCTAGAAATGCGAACCAGGTTACCTAGGAACGAAATAAATTAATAATACGTCTGCAGAGACGTGCTGCTGGGATAGTTTTAAAGACAGTGCATTTGTCCACTTATCAACATATGGCTTCCGGTCTTGATTGGAACCTTCTTAAGACAAGAAGAGAAAAACATAATCATTGTCAAGTTTGTCAACAGCAAACTTATGATGTTCATGCCTATTACATGTACACTAGGTCTAAGGATAAGTATCTATTGATAAAGTCAATCCCAAATCGACTATGTAAGAGAGCCTTCTTTTACAAGGAGCTACCCGTTTAAATGATTTTATATAATTTTATCCCAGTTTCGAATAGAGTTTTTTTTATACAGAACCCTTGATAGCAGTTTTTATAACTGAAATGGTCATCCTGTTAAAATAGGTTACGATTATTATTTTAACAACAGATCCGAGGTTAGCAACCGAGGTTTGGACATATAAAAAAACTAGTATGCTCCTGAAACATCATTCAGTCCAGAGTAAACACAAATTTAGGAAGTTGTCCTTTTCCATTACTGGTGGGATGTGAAAACGGGAAAAAGTGAAATGTCACTCCAGACTTTTCTACAGTAGAGCAGCCATTTGTTCCATAACAATATGGGGGACCAGTAATGGAAGCCGAAATTTTGTACCGTGTGTTTGCTGTTATAGCAATCGGCGGTTTAAATAGAATATCAAAGCCTTGGTGATCTCCAATTTCACAGTGTACCTGCTTAGATAAAAAAAACCCTTCTTGCCTTCTAACAGAAATGCCACTGTTATACTCGGACACTTCTAGTTTCACTGAATATTGACTGTTATCGCTTCCAAAAAAGTGGATTGCGTGTAGATGTATGTTTTTGTCAACATCAAAACATATACAATTTGAGGTCTCACCATAATGCAACCCTCCCGCTAGTGATCGAAACCTAGAAATAACTTGCTTTCCCTCAGTTCTCTCGGTTTCGAGAAATCCCACTGAATCATGTAGCACAGAGTTAAAATACTTTACCAGACGGTTCGTCTCTTTGAGTGTAAGTATTTCAGAATCGAGGACGATATCAGCAAATTCTGTTTCCTCCATCAAAGGAAAACGAATTCCTTGAACAACGCGTTCCCCAAGGACTCTTCTTTTCACGGAGCCTTCAGCTACGAGACCTTGCTTTTTACATTTATTTTCAGCCCAGCAATCAACAGCTTTGAATAAATCCACTTCTTTAATATTCAATGAATTTTTCTCCACTAGCTCCTCTAGTACTGACCTCTCGACTGTCACGAAACCCTCTGATTTTACAGCTTCTTCTGTCTGTGTCGCAATCATCTTCCAGCAGTGATTCATCAAATCTTTCTCTTCGTATTTCTGCGCATCCGGCAAAATGTGAAACACGTTTAACGCGTTTAAGTTCTCTTTAAGGAAAGCAGAGCACTTCTCAGCCAAAGTAGGCAGCATATATTTCTTTGATAAATAAAGCAACTGCATGACATTATCAGCGTTCAGGTTCAACTTGTCGCTGTATATAAAGCGAAAAAACTCCAACAGACTTTCATACTCACAATCAGAAATCTCCACCGAATCTTTAATCTCTGCTGCTTTGCCATAAAACATAGCAAAAAATACTGGACTACTGATCGCTAACATGAACTTGTGAGCGGGAATCGTCTTACTTCCGCCTCTGGAGTCAGGGACCACGAACTTCACATCGCTAAGCAGTTCTTGATTGAAAACGGCCTCACATCTTTCTCTGATGGTACCTCTGGCTGTTTGCCAGTAAGTGTCCCACACTGCATCGACAGACATGGCTAATTCAGCTTTTCAGGGTTCGTTCGTTTCTTCTATTAAAGTATTGCTGCAATGACTTCCTTGCATTCGAGTCGCGAGATCTTTTTAGTTCCCAGTGCTCTCGCTCTTAACGCTTCCAGCCTCGGTTTGGTGCTAATGTAAGCCTAAGGCTCTTTTCTCGAAATGTGCGATAATTGCGGCCTCGGAAAGCCATTGTTGTTTATATTCAAGATTTTGCGGATGACATAATAAAACTATGAATTAACAAAACAGACTGCACAGGATTTTTAACTTGGACGTGCGTTTTTATTCTTAAGATTTTAATTTGAATATTTGGTTACGGGCGAGAAAAGTTACCGTGGTGTTACAATGATATGGGCATCCCCATCCCCAAAACCCTAGTGATATGGGTATTCCCATCTCATATTACCTTTGCGATTTGGGTTACGGTTACGGTTACGGTTACAGGGGATGTCCATATCAGTAGGGTTTCGGGAATGGGAATGCTCAAAAATCGGGGATGCCCATATCACTGTGACAACGGGACTTTCGAGACACGGGGGGGCCCCTGGACAATGGCCTGTTTTCAAAATCCGAGCTGAAGACAACAAACAAGGCTTTCGCCTTTTCACACTGTGCATATATTCTCTGCTTTTTGCAAACCATTGAGCTGGATCGTGGGCACGGCTGCTTGATATTTTATCGTCTCTTTGTAAAATGTAAAGCTCTCCCTTGCTTCTGTTTGATGCAACGTACGTGTCCTCAAAGGTAATGGGTCAAATGGGAACATTTCACTTACACCATATTTTTCATGCTAAGTGGGCCCTAAGTGGTGAAAAAAAAATTGCACTTTATTTGAGGGTCAATGTATTTAGCAGGAAAGTACTAATTGTGGACAGTATTTTTTTATGTCTCCTACTGGAGACGGAACCGCCATTTTAGGTGGTCATCCGAGCCACACGAAGGTCTACCCGTTTGCAGGGCAAAGGAAGTACCTTCATTTCTCAGTTATTTTAAGGCCCTGAGTATTGCTCCGGCCCCGGGATGTCGAACCCCTCGACCTCTCGCTCTGCAGTCAAGTGCTCTACGACTTGGCAAATCTTGCCGCGGTTAAAATGGTGCGATGAAATATTAAAACCTTTTACTTTTTTCTCTTCTTCTCCTTTCTTCTATTATACTATGAGTATACTATGTGGTAATTTTTAGAGGCAAGTTGAAGTGCTTTCATCTACTAGCAGAGTTTTTCACTTTTCACCTTATGTAAGTGTTACAAATCCGTGCAGGATTTGTTAATGCTGACTGAGCTACATCTATCCTACCAAGTGACTCTTATATCCATTAGAAATAAAGATTATTAGCTTATACCAGTCTGAGCTGCTAGCCTATGTTTCAACACAGCTGCTGTAAAGATTGTTAGCACTGCTACTGAAAAAAGCGAACGGATTCTAGGCATCTGGTCAGCTGGAATGCTTTATCATGACAACTGACAGACAAAAGTAAACATTAGGTGTGTTCCAACTTAAGAACGACTTTACAAAAATACAAACTGATGAGAAAAAGGTTTCAATAATAGCATATTGCATCACGATTTTTTGCTTCCCATCCTGAATAGAGCAGATTTTTTAACGAGTATTTCGGAATTGGGCATTAAGAGAATGTGGAGATCGAGAAAGTCTTTCTTTAAGCTAAGCTTTTTAGTGTTATTCTTTCTCTCTTTTTCATAAAGCAAAACACACTCAAATTTTAAACAAATTTAACCAACTGTATTTTATAAAACTCTTAGCAAACACAAAGTTAAGAGAATTTTGTCACTGCTGACGACATAACGCGCTTTTTAAATTGGCGCACTCCTTCTCTGTTAAAAGATTTAGAGAATGAAGCTAGAAGAGAATGAAAATCACTGTCACGCGTATCTCTGAATTCGCGGTCTCCCTGTATCGGTAGTATTATTCACGCTCAGGTTTAAGGCCATTATTTGTATGCCATAAATTTTATAAAAAATATATCAAATGCAAGCTTAAATGTTTTATTAGAAGTGAATTTCAGTTGTCATACAATAATTAAGCAGAACACGCTGCGACTAGTTGTTTCTCCAGGAGCGTCCGGCCTGGAATGACCACTTCCCGTAACTGCTCGTAACTGCAGTTTTTTTGAATTATACAAGTTTTTCCAAAATAAGCGAGTAAACATTACTTAGAAGCCCAGCTTATATTGACTAACCATTCAATTTACTCTTGTTTAAAATTCAATCAAAAGATAGGTAGATAGATAGATATTAGATAGACGAGTTTTGTTTAGTCACAGTAGTTTTGTCAGCTAAAGCTGGTTTACATAAACGTCGTGTTAAAATTATATATCTATGAGAGTTTCGAGTTAATTCTAGTTGTGAAAAAGATATGTAAAGCTAGGTATTAACCTTTGATAAAATATTCTAAACTAGGATTATAGTATGGAATCAAAGAAGCTGAGAACCAAGCGGTCCAGTTTAGTTTTATATAAGTTCATCGAGGCTTGCATCCACGCAAATCCTCTGGTAATTTATTCCAAATAAATGGAACCCTGTAGCTAAAACGTTTTCTGCCATAATTGGTTTTGGGAAGAGGCAACTGGAATCTAGAAGAGGATATCAAAAATTTTTTGCATAGGTATTCAGGTGCCATATTGTTGTACACCTTGAACATTTCTATAGCGAGGGGCTTAATGCCCGTCCCATTCTAACTCTTGCAGCAGGGGCCGGAGCTAGAATAATAACTGGAAAATGTTATGATCCTAAAAGCTGCGCTATTTTGTAGTTCTTGAAACTTCAGAGCTAGGTCTGAAGCTAGAAACTCCCAAACAGCGCTGCAATAGTAAAGGTACAGATGGGTCCGATTGCGCTGGTTAATTTCTTTGAGCTCTCCTCGATATGTGCTGCCCATGTAAGCGCCTCGTCAACATGTACACCTAGGGATTTGGTAGATGTTACTTTAGGTACATTGGCGTCTTCATAAAGGAGTGATGGGCAAGACATGCGAGGAGACCTCTTTCTAGATCCTACAAACAATACTTCTGATTTTGTTGTGTTTAGACTCAATCGGTTTGTATAGATCAGGGTAGTGAGAGAAAAACAAACGAAAAAATTTCCCACACAAAAAGAATTAGTTTCTCACTCAAAAAGGAGCCTTTGTGCAAGGAATCAAAACATTTCTATTTTCAACTATAAAAACCTATAAACTCATGGGCAAGAGTCAGTCAACGAAAAATCTCACCTTCTTCGACCTCAACAACTGTTATTTAATGAACTTAAAGAAGAAAATCTTTTAACTTGACCATTCAGCGAAAAACTGCAATTGAAAAACAGCAATCAGCAAACAGCATGAGAACTAAGGTTATCAGCAGTCTGCCTCCTCGAAACACACCATAGACAAGACTTTTCTCTTTATATAATCCTGTTCATAATTATACCTTTCGGCTATTCTTTCTCTAGAAAGCGTAACAGCGTAAACGAGGAGATTAAAGCAATACCGTTCGTGGCACAAAAAAATATCTCGCGCGGCCGATAGTCCAAAAACGTGCGAAATACGAAGGCCGTCAGTAAATTTCTACGGAGTAACCGGGTTACCTACCAACGAGATACGTTAATAGGCCCTTAAGAGTAGCACGTTCGCAGAGACGTGCTCATGGTGTCGCTGGGATAGTGTTAACGACAGTGCATTTGTCCACTGAACAACATATGACTTCCGGTCTTGGTTGGAACCTTCTTAAGACGAGAAGAGAAAATCATAATGATGGTCAAGTTTGTCAAGAATTGTCTTGATGGACAAGCCCCAAGTTATTTGTCTAATTATTTTAAACAGCAAACTTATGATTTTCATCCTATTCTTTTATAAGGGCGCTACCCATTTTAATGATTTTATATAATTTTATCCCAGTTTCGAATATAGTTTTTTTTATACAGAACCTATGTTGATAGCAGTTTTTATAACTGAAATGGTTATCCTGTTAAAATATGTTAAATATGTCCTTATTATTATAACAACAGAACAGAGGGCCGAGGTTAGCAACCGAGGTTTAGACATATCAAGTAATAAAAGCTAGTATGCTCCCGAAAGATCATTCAGTCCAGAGTAAACACAAATCTAGAAAATTGTCCCCTTCCACAACTGGTGGGAATTGAAACCGAAGAAAAGTGAAATCTCACTCCAGAATTTTCTACAGTAGAGCAGCCATTTGTTCCATACCAAGATGGTGGACCAGTAATGGTAGCCGAAATTTTGTATCGTGTGTTTGCTTTTATAGCAATCGGCGGCTCAAATACAATATCAAAGCCTTGGTGATCTCCAATTTCCCACTGTATCTGCTTAGATAAAAAATTCCCTTCTCGCTTTCTAACGGAAATGCCACTGCTATGATTTAACACCTCTAGTGTCACTGAATATTGACTGTTATCGCTTCCAAAGAAGTGGATTGCGTGTAGATGTATGTTTCTGTCAACATCAAAATCTATACAGTTTGGATAGTCGGAATAATACCACCACCCTCTGTCTAGTGATCGAAACCTGGAAATCTCTTGCTTTCCCCCAGTTCTCTCGGTTTCGAGAAATCCTACTGATTCATTTAGCACAGAGTTAAAATACTTGACCAGACGGTTCGTCTCTCTGAGTGTAAGTATCTCTGAATCAAGGACGACGTCAGCAAACTCTGTCTGCCCCATCAAAGGAAAACGAATTCCTCGAACAATACGTTCCCCAAGAACTCTTCTTTTCACGGAGCCTTCAGCTACGAGACCTTGCTTTTTACATTCCTTTTCAGCCCAGCAATCGATAACTTTGAATAATTCCACTTCTTTAATATGCAAAGAATTTTTCTCCACTAATTCCTCCAGTACTGACTTCTCGACTGTGACGAAGCCCTCTGATTTTACAGCTTCTTCTGTCTGTGTCTCAATCAATTTCCAGCAGTGATTCATCAAATCTTTCTCTTCGTATTTCTGCGCATCCGGCAAAATGTGAAACACGTTTAACGCGTTTAAGTTCTCTTTAAGGAAAGCAGAGCACTTCTCAGCCAAAGTAGGCAGCATGTATTTCTTTGATAAATAAAGCAACTGCATGACATTATCAGCGTTCAGCTTCGCCTTGTCGCTGTAGATAAAGCGAAACAACTCCAACAGGCTTTCATACTCACAATCGGAAATCTCCACCGAATCTTTCATTTCTGCTGCTTTACCATAAAACATAGCAAAAAATACTGGACTACTGATCGCTAACATGAACTTGTGAGCGGGAATCGTCTTACTTCCGCCTCTGGAGTCACGGACCTCGAACTTCACATCGCTAAGGAGTTCTTGATTGAAAACGGCCTCACATCTTTCTCTGATGGTACCTCTGGCTGTTTGCCAGTAAGTGTCCGACACTGCATCTACAGACATGGCTAATTCAGCTTTGCAGGGTTTGTTAGTTTCTTCTAAGTATTGCTACAATGATATCGAACTATTCGATTTCCTTGCATTCGAGTCATGAGATCGTTTTAGTTCCCAGTGCTCTCGCTCTTAACGCTTCCAGCCTCGGTTTGGTGCTCATGCAAGCCTGAGGCGCGTCTCTCGAAATTTCCGATAATTGACGGCCTCGGAATGCCTTTGTAGTTTACATTAAAAAATTTGGAGATGACATGATAAAACCAGCAGTTAACAAAACAAACTGTACTGGATTGGATTTGGATTCTTTAGATTTTGATTTGAATATTTGATTTCGGGCGAGCAAAGTTTCCGGTGTTACAGTGATATGGGCATCCCCGCGTTTTGGGCATCCCCAATCCCAATACCCTAGGGATATGGGAATTCCCCTCTTGTATTACCTTTGTGATTTGGGTTAGGGTTAGGGTTACAGGGGATGTCCATATCACTAGGGTTTCGGGAATGGGGATGCCCAAAACGCGGGGATGCCCATATCACTGTGACACCGGGACTTTCGAGACACGGGGGGCCCCTAGACAATGAGCCCGTTTTCAACAACCAAGCTGAAGACAACAAACAAGGCTTTCGTCTTTTCTCATTGTGCATATATTCTTTGCTTCTTGCAAGCGATTGAGCTGGATCGTGGGCACGGCTGCTTGATATTTTATCTTCTTTTTGTAAAATGTAAATCTCTCCTCTGTTTCTGTTTGATGCAACGTACGTCTCCTCTAAGGTAATGGGTCAAATGGGAGCGTTTCACTTACACCATATTTTTCATGCTAAGTGGGCCCTAAGTGGTGAAAAAAAAATTGCACTTTATTTGGATGTCAATGTATTTAGCAGGAAAGTACTAATTGGGGACACTATTTTTACGTCTCCTTGTGGAGACGGGACCGCCATTTTACGTAAACATCCGAGCCACACAAAGGTCTACCCGTTTGCAGCGCAAAGGAAGTACCTTCATTTCTCAGTTAGTTTAAGGCCCTGAGTATTGCTCCGGCCCCGGGATGTTGAACCCCTCGACCTCTCGCTCTGCAGTCAAGCGCTCTACGACTGAGCAAATCCTGCCGCGGTTAAAATGGTGCGATGAAATATTAAAACCTTTTACTTTTTTCTCTTTCTTCTCTTTTTTTCTATTTTACTATGAGTATGCTATGTGGTAATTTTTAGAAGCAAGTTGAAGTGCTTCCATCTACTAGCAGAGTTTATAATTTTTCACTTGTTATAAGTATCACAAATCCGTGCAGGATTTGTTAATGCTGATTGAGCTACATCTAGCCTACCAAGTGACTATTATATCCATTAGAAATTAAGATTACTAGCTAATACCAGTCTGACCTGCTAGCCTATGTTCCAACACAGCTGCTGAAAAGATTGTTAGCACTGCTACTGAAAAAAGCGAAAGGGTTCTAGGCATCTGGACAGCTGGAATGCTTTATCATGACAACTGACAGACAAAAGTAAACATTAGGTGCGTTCCAACTTAAGAAGGACTTTACAAAAATACAAACTGATGAGAAGCAGGTTTCAGTAATAGCATATGACATCACGATTTTTTGCTTCTCATCCTGAATAGAGTAGATTTTTTAACCAGTATTTCGGAATTGGGCATTAAGAGAATGTGGAGATCGAGAAAACCTTTCTTAAGCTAAGCTTTTTATTGTTATTCTTTCTGTCTTTTTCATAAAGCAAAACACACACAAATTTTAAACAAATTTAACCAACTGTATTTTGTAAAACTCTTAGCAAACACAAAGTTAACAGTATTTTGTCACTGCTGACGACATAACGCGCTTTTTAAATTGGCGCACTCCTTCTCTGTTAAAAGATTTTGAGAATGAAGCTAGCTATTCTAATTGTCTTTGTGGTTGGGCTAGTCATCCAGGTCCACGGTAAGATGATCAACCATAATCAGTAAATGTACTATTTTTTTGTTTTGATTTTTGGTGTAATCAGTAGTCCACTATGTATCCATATGAAATGTTAAAACCAGGACGAAAAAGGAAACGTATGATAAAAAGAAAAAAACTTTACAAGATTATGGTGTGTAAAAGTGTACTTAAAACTGAAGATCTAGAAATTTACAATGACATTTAGTTGTATAGCAAAGTTATAATAAAAACATAAGCTATTAAAAAGCAAGCCATTTTAAAAACGTTTGGGGTACAGGTGTTCTTATTGGTATATCTGATCAATTTTCCTTTATACCTTGGAAGTGAACTATGTATTGCAGGATGGCCTTTATACTTGAACTTGCAGAAAAAAGGATGGTCACTAGGAGCTCATCTAAACTATTAAAACGTTTTCACTTGTAAATCAATGTGTCTATTCATGATCAAAATATAATCATACGCAGCCTCTTCTCCCTTTTTTGTGGGAATTCAAGAGCACTTTCAGTGGTCCTGTTGAGGTGGTGATGTTCAATATTATACAAATATCCCCCGAAGGGGAGGTGAATAGTGGTGGTAATACAGAGACGCGAAGCGTCGAGGTATATATCTAGCGCTGTTCACCGACCCTGAAGGGGGTAGTTGTTTTAGTATTTACCAAATCAGTTGGATAAAAATGAAAACAAGTAACTTTTTGTAAATTAAAAAATGTCACGAGGAAATGTGTTTAAAATTTAAAAACATTTCGGGGATTTTGTCAAGTGCATTTTTACTATTTTGTTGCAAGTTCAACATGAAAATAATTTTCTACCTACCAGTAAACTCTGACAAACCAAGGTTCGTCGCTTCCTTGGTATTTGTTTGTACGACTGCTTCAATTATAGCTCAAATTTCGTCTTTCGAAAATGCATCGAGACGAGACGCCATCTTGGCTCCGGTTGCAAAACACTGAATAGCCAAGATAATCCGAGTTACGGAAGCCAATCAAAACGCGCGAGAATTGCTATTCACTGATTTGGTAAATACTAAATATGTATATTAATAAATCTATTCATGATCAAAATAAAATCATAAACAGCCTCTTCTCACTTTTTTTGTTGGAATTCAAGAGCTCTTTCACTGGTGCAGTTGGGGTGGTGATGTTCACTCGGTTATGATATCTTGGGTTCTATTTTTTGTTCGTGGCACTCTTGGGCTGTGTTCAAACTTTACTGGATAGCGCTTTCGCGCTGCCACGAAAATCATACGGGATAGAGCTTCTGGGGCCCTTTTCTCGAAAGTCCGCTAACTTTTCGGGCCCGAAATCAAATATTCAAATCGAAATATTAGAATGAGGGGGCGGGTCCTGGCTAGCCGAGCAAACTACTCCATTTTGTTTCATTAGCTGATAGTTTTATCATGTTAGATGCAAAACTATTGAAACCTCGATCTTTAATGTAAACGGAGACAGCTTACCGGGCCCGTTAACTATCGGAACTTTCGAGAAACGGGCCCCTGGTCACACATAGAAACGGTTCTGGTGGCGCGATTTATGTGACGGAGCGAAGCTGCGCCACGCTAATCTCTAAAGTGGAGAGTCGAATATCAGATAGGTGTTCATATTATAGCCGAAAACTTTTAGTAGTATAATGTGAACATAGCCCAAGTCAACCTCGTCCCCAGGGCGCTTTTCCATAGCTTTGGAGCCGCCCCACCTCCAAAGCCAGGGAAAAGCGCCCTGGGGAAGAGGTTGAGTCCAAGTTACCCGAGAAATAACTTTTAGTTTTAATCTTTGAAAGGGGGGACGTGAAAAAGTAGCAAAAGAGTATTGTATTCCTTTGCTTTTAAGGCAAGGTGGTTGAGATTAGCATCTTAAAGGTTTTGTCTTCGAGTATGCCGGACTTAAAGGGATCAGAGCCATGAAAAATGTTTGAAAAGTAGTACTCTCACCGAATCCAGAATCAAGATCCTTAATTCGCCACTTTAGAAACAAGAAGGAAACTTTCCCTTTGACTTCTGGACTGTTGCTAAGGATCGGCCAATAGCTGACCGACGCGTCTCCAGTAACGATCCCAAACAATTGTGGGACACATTTCGGCTCCAGTCCCCTTTTCGTTTCTAAAGAAGCCGAGCTCTCTTTTTTATTTAACATGAAATATTTCATCTTTAAGCCTTCTACTGCAATTTTGACCGCAACCAATGTGAATTTGTCTAGCGACGAGATGACAAGTTTGACTGGGTCAGAAAAAGAGGCGTGACACCTTCAGGCGGAACAGGACCTGAATCTGATGTTAGCGGAAAAGGTAAATTTAGTAAAGACGATACAATGCAGGGAAAATACTCGCATGCTCATGGAGGATAAGCTTGAAATAATGCTGCTACCTCGCTCGGAAGAAGGAAGCGTGGCAAAGCGGTTCGTTATTTTACCTACTTATGACTCTAATTCTCCTTTCATAATAGTAGCTTAGTTCATAACTTACTTTGTTATAGGTTATTACATGTATATAGAAGCATCCCGACGAAAAACAGGTGACAATGCTAAGCTAGAACTGAGATCTGGTTTACCTACTGGCAAATCATCATCATCAGAGCTAGTAATACAAGGAACGGGTCTGACAATTTACTTTTCAGAATGTAAAATATTAATTTAAAAGTTATAATCTCAAAATGTCAAAATGACACAATGAAGTGACTGAGGGATGGCGTTTCTCAAGGGTTATAAACAGCCTTTTTAATCATGCGTTTGGAAGATGGTGCTAGAATAATGGCGTATTTCAAAACACTCACTAGAGTAAAAGTAGCGACATCGCAGAGTTAAGCTAAGTTATTTGAAATGTGTCAAGTATTTACCTTAACAAGTAGAAAAGTGATGGATGGTATCACCTTCTTAACATGCAAGCATCTAAGGATGCGGGTTGCTCTTCGCCTGGTATATAAAGGAAAGTTATGCTGGGGGCAGGGCTAAAGAAGACTGGCATCACTCTCAGAGAGAGGAGGAGAAGGAGAAAGTAGTATCTCTGTTGGTGATGATACCTTCAAGTGTGTTCAAAACTAATAGCTGTCATACTAAAAGAGGTAGCGTTAACTGCGAATCCACTTAGCATTGGTGTTTTGGCTTAATATTTATCGGCTTCTCTTTCATCTGACAGGTTGTGTTTGAAGGTGTTGTTGGTAGGGGCTACCTTTCAGACATTGCTATCGATGAGATCAAGACAGAAACCTGTGGGGGAGGGGGAGGAGGTGACGGAAGTAAGTACCCTCAATCCCGCTTTCTTTCATGTCGTGAAATTACTAAAACAGCCAAACATTATGAATGTATAACAAATTTCATACATCGCTTTCATCAACAGCTGTTCCACCACCTTCACAACCAAGCACCACAACAAAAGCACCAGAGACACCGCTTCCTCCTTTCAGTAAGTTACCAAGAAATTTGCACCAAAATTCTGCTCGCTACTCCATCAGCGGAGGTCGCTAGGACATTAAGCACCAGCTCATCTCTTAGACAATAAAGACTCTGCCCAAAATCAGATGCAAATGTTATTTTGTTAGGTAATTGTGGCATTCGTCCCTCTACAAGAATTGTTGGTGGTGTGGACTCATCTCCAGGAGACTGGCCATGGCAGGCCATGTTGACGTCATCTCCAAATGGTTACATGTTCTGTGGTGGATCATTGGTTGCTCCTCAGTGGCTAGTTACAGCTAGTCATTGTGTTAAAGGAACTTCAGCAGCCTCCATTTACGTTCGGTATAAGTCATTCATTTTATCTATTTCTAGCTTAAATGATGAGCACCCTTAGAGTCAATCTGGCACTCCGTTATGTATATCTACATCACCTAATGCCTACATCAATATATATTATGGATAAAAGCGGGTTAAAATGACGTTTATTCTGTCCTTACTTACCCATATCTAGAGACTGTAATCTCACCAAGCAAGAAATTCTGACAAAGGAAAAGCCCAAAAACAATCCTCACAAGACAAGATTTTCATTCATTTTTTTTATTTGTGACGACCGCTCTTGTTGGTAAACCATTTCTAAATGTTCTAGTTTATTTTGCTTTCTGTAACAGCTCTATTGCGGTTTTGCTTATGGGAGCTCAGTCTTGACGCGTAGATAAATCCACCTCGTGTTGGTATGCCATGGTCCAAGTACTATCTGGCGACTTAAACTTTAAATCGCACTAATTAAGGGTTTATACTCAGGGCACTTTGCACTTCTATTATGTTAATATTATTTTTCCTTTCTGAAAGACTTGGAGCCCATAAAAGAACAGACACTGTGGGTACAGAACAAGACTTCAGAGTAACTAAAGTGATCATGCACCCCTTTTATCACAAACCCATTGGTATGAGCCATGACATTGCCCTTCTCAAACTGGACCGACCGGCAGCACTGAACAAGTAAGCTCAGTAGAGACGTACTTCAAAACGTAAAATATGTTAAATCTTCGGTATAACAACTTGTCTATCTATGGCGTAAGGACTGTCAAACAGATTTTTTTAAGAAAGGACGAATTGCTAGTGACTATTTTTGTCACTGGATTTCACATAGACAGGAAGTGTGGCAGGTTAGGGTGAGAAACAGAAAACGAAACAAAAAGGCAACAGATCCAGGTGGGGACAATTGAAACCAAGACAGCCCAATCAAATATCTATTCCACCCACCCCAAGATTCATTTCAGCACATAGGTCAAAATCCTTCCTTGAAAGTGGACCATGTGGCCCAAAGTAAGGTAGCCTAATCAGGCTCTTAAAAACAGCCACCAGCTGGCGCTTAAAAAAATCTTAGTAAGGGTTTACACGTGTTTAATGATAAATGACAAACTCGCATGCTTGCCTTTCATGTATTTCAACAATAGATTCGTCAACTTGGTATGCCTTCCAGGATCCGTTCCAGCTCCTGTAGAAGGCAAGAAATGTCGGATCACCGGCTGGGGAAGGAACAGACCCATTGGAGGCTCCAGTCCAGTTACCTTACAACAGGCGTCAGTGCCTATTGTTGGCCGAAACCGCTGTGAATGGGCTTATCTTGGACGGATTCATGACTCCATGATCTGCGCTGGTCTGGATCGGGGTGGTATTGATTCCTGTCAGGGAGATAGTGGGGGCCCGATGGTGTGTGAGGAAGGCGGGAGATTTTACCTTCAGGGAGTAACAAGCTGGGGTCAGGGATGCGTTAGACCAAATAAGTATGGCGTATATGCAAGAGTGAAATATGTTATGGGTTGGCTTAAAAAGGAGATGACCAGTAACTAGTTATCGCCTCTTGAAATCCATGTTCTTCTTGACCTGAAGTATGATTTAGATGAAAATAAAAACGCTTTTAAAATTGTCATGATTTGTTATTTCTTGAAGCTCGATTTTTGTTTTTTTTGAAAAATAACCTACCCTTATAGATGAGGACTGGAATAGTTGATACAGGAAAAGACAGCCAAAAGTCGCCGCATACCACGTTCTCTTCAGGTTTGGGTGAGAAAACAGTAAACAAACAAGAGGAGCAATGGACCCTAACCTACAGAGATTAATGCCAAAGATCTTCGTGACAGCAAGTTATGAGGGACTTCTGTGTTCCTTTGTATATCTCTACACGAAGCCTCTATATTTGACTTCATGCGGCGAGGCAAGAACTCGTCTTGTTGCCACTTTGAGGCCGGTCTTCCCTGCAGGAAAACGGGTGAATTTCCCCGGCAAGGGTGGCGGCCAATCGATTCTCGTGTGCAAGTGGCGAACATTATACTTTCTCAGTTGTATCACATCCACCACTTTCAAGACCAGTTGTAAAAGTGGTAAACCCACAGGGTTCGTACCCTTTTTTGAACAAAAAATTCAAGGACTTTTCAAGGACACATTTCGCATTTTTCAAGGACTCCATTCAATGCAAAAAAAGAGCTTAGAGTCTATGTCTTTTTTTAGTTCTTCCACATCAGGAGAATTTTATCCCGAAGGTCTTTGTGTTTGTTCCTTTTCCTTTACAGTTTCCCTTAGCAATGAAATCAAAGGACTTTTCAGTACTGACTGCAATTTTCAAGAACTTTCAAGGCCTTGAATTTTTGTCTTAAAATTCAAGGACTTTTTCAAGGATTTTCAAGGTGCGTGCGAACCCTGGGCTTAGAAAAACATATTCAAGAGATTCAGGGGTCAAGCCCTATTCCTAAACCTCCGATATCTCCTTTGCAGCTGGTCATTCACGTGGTAAAAAAAAACGCCGTGCTGGAAAGGATGGAACTAGACAAAAACCTCACATCATTTAAAATCATAATTTCCTTTGTCTGGCTTTTCTCAGTGCATCTCTTGCTCTCCAGTATGGCGGTTTTGTACCACGTGAACGACTCGCCTTCTTACTAAGTCTGGGGCTAGCGGAAATTTAGCAAAGGGACGGGACAGCATGCAGATACGGATAAACCCACGTTAGAAGAATGAGACAATTTCTTGCATGTATCTTTGATCATATCCTGCATGAATTTTTCTGTCTGAAATTTTTGTGTGAGATTACTACAATATAATATTTTGATAGATTTACGTTAAGAATACATATTCTTTGTTACATTGTTTTAAACTTCAGACGGCCGCCATAGTCTTCGAAACCGTCAAGTGCACCCTCTGTTAGTAAAAGTCTCATATAGGTAGTTTACTTTGGAAACATCAGTATTCGGTTATACTCTTAGACTTTTACCTCAATAGCGACAAGGGAAAAAGTGCGATTCAAAGGAATGTGGGGTACTTATCAGATGTTATTCATTAGATGCTTCTGATGTTATTAATTGGAGGCGGAGGCTCAAATCTTGTGCGTGCGGCTGTATACACTTCCATCTTGTTAATGCAAAATCTAAGTGACTGAGTTTTCTCTTCTCCTGTTCTTACAGCTCGTATTTAGCCCAACGGTACGTAAGCGACCGGACGAGCTGAAACTGTAAAATGACAAGAATAAGACAATAAAGACAAAAACGGAACTGAAAATGGTTTGCTTTGGTTGAGACGGCTGGATGTGTACCCAACCATAAGTGTCTGGCTTCCTTAATTTACACTACGAAACCGCAAGAAAGAGCTTTAGGTTTGAGATGGGAAATAGTGCTAAACCTAGACCTTTTCCCCAGGCAAGAAAACCCGTGCACCTTATAAAAATAAAAACGTATGAAATTATAGAAATTCCTGACGAATGGAGTGAGAAGAAGAGTAAGCATTTAGGCGTCACGACGTTACGCAGTGTTCTAAAGTTTCAAAACAAAGTTTTTGAGTTTGATCTCGGTTTTACCAAATAATTTTGCGTGTTATGTGCAAAAGTACAGTGTTCTATCGCGTATCATTCAAATGAACACCTGCTCGGAAAACGTGATGACAATGACATAGCGTGGTTGAAAGCAATTTACGATCACGGCCATGAGCAGGAACAATTAAAAGTCCTTGTGTTTTAGTTTCGAAATGGAAATCTGAATAATCATGCCGTTCAGTGAATTTACTTGACCCCCATTAAAACGAAAGCTGTTCGCTAAAATCTCTACTGCAGTTTAAATCGAGTATACTGATTCAAAATGGCGATGAAGCAAATTATTCTCCTGATCACTGGTTTGCTTTTCTGCGCAGAAGAGGGTAAGTTTTAATGTCGGCAACGTAGATGACCTAGTTTAATCAAAGAGTTCTTATTGAATCGATATGTTTCTATGCAGTTTTCATTCATAGGCCATGAGGTTCGGTCTAGTTCTAGGTCTTTTTGCTAACACACAGAGTCAAAAAGTCTGTTTCTCGCCATAATGGGATATACCCATTGCAGATTAAGCGACTATTAAACGCTTTCAACAGTATATCTTAAGTCAAAAGGTTTTTCTGTCTTTGGAAAAGGTTTAGGGACAATACCGTTAAGTTCCCAAAGTAACGAACCCCCGAAAGTAGCGATAAAATTTCACAGGTGTTAGGAAATGCTGGCCTGTTCCAGGCGTTCAAATCGTGGGGAAAGCGCAAGAGATGTGACCATTATCCGAACGCCTGGAACAGGCTATGGAACTGATGCCAAAAGTAGCGACTTCAAAAGTGATTTCCTTTCTTGCTAGAAATAACTGAAATTATAGTTACACTGAAGTTTCACCAAACTGATCGGATATTTATTTTTTGACGGTTATTATGATCTTTGACATTCCCTTGTGTAACTCAAAAGGTACGTTACATTCAAAATAGATTCAAAATAGATCAAAACAAAAATCAAAACCGTTAAATAGATAAAGTCCAGAGTCTGGGAAATAAAAAGGAGGTAAATATGCAAAGACCCTCGCCAAGATTCAGGCTAGAGGAATATTTCGTATACGAGATATCCGAAGAAATGTTTTCACAAAATTAATAGAGATTTGTATGGAGACATCATGCTGGTGCCCATCCGGATGGGCAACAACATGGCGGACGAAAACCAACAGAAACATCTGTTACCGAGGTTTGCTACAAAAGCGTGAATTTATTCTTCGAGGAACTCTTCAAACATTAAAGTTATACTTTTTCTAATACATGAACTGTTTAGATAGCAAAATTCCCTGAATAAGTAATTTTTTTAACCTACATGACAGCTCTCTTGGCCATCATGTAAATGCCGCGTCACGCAAAAGCTTACAAATTCAAGCGTACTCTATCACAAAGCCAAGAACCCTTTTGAAGCGAAAATTTATAAGAAAATTAGTTTTCAGCTCTTGTAATACGCTGTGAAAGTAAAATCTCGGTAGGATCGATAGTTTTGTAGTTTGAATGTCATGTGCAAACCAACATTTCTTTCGTCATATGAATATTTATTTAAAAAGCAATAACATGAAATAAGTTTCTCCAAATAAAAAGTGTGGTTGTTTTCACAATTGTCGCGATATTATTATCGTACCTTCGTACGCCTCATGTACGATGCACGTTGTAGTTACCCGAAATTAGTGGCCCTTCATTATGAACTCCCGCTTCTACGAAATTTAACGACGTTTAGCGTGCGAAGCAAAACACACTCAGAAGCAACTGTTACAATTTTTTACAAAATGTTTTTTTCATTTAGTTTTTATTCATATATTTATTTGAGAAGTAAAATTTCGCTTTAAATCTGACGTTTTGAAATAATAATAAAATTGACACGATCATCCGCTAACTTGACTGCAAGCCATTCCTTTTTTTTCTTTCGTGATAATTTGCTGTCGAGGATCATTTGCGGTCCATTTTGGGGATCATTTGCGGTCTTGGGATCATTTGCGGTTGGGGATTATTTGCAGTACTGTACAGTACTCCCTTATACAGGCTATATAGGTATGTGCGGCACCAAAGGATATGGGTTTTCAGCCGTTTTGGTCTCAAATAGGGTATCAATTTTGACCATTTTGGTCTGAAGTAGGGTATGGTTCGTGCACTCTAGTCTTCAATTGGGTGTGTTTTTAAGAAGAAGCTACTTCTCAATTCATCATAAGGCGATAATACCATTTCCCTTTAAGCTCGAAACTTTGTACAGTTTTGTATCCTACTTAATAAAAGCGTATAAACATTGCCTTTGACATTGGTCTGACCGAAAGAACTGATTATAAGGCAGGTCTGAAATAGAGTATCAAATTTTTGATCAGGTCTGAAACAGGGCAGGGAAAATCACAGATTTTAGTCAAAAATAGGCAAATGTTATAGGAAGCGTGCCGCTCACCCCCCACTCAATTTTTCTGGTAGTGCCCCCCCCCCGGAACCGATGTTACGAAAAGTAGAGAACTTAAGAACAATTCAACAGTAGGGAGTTTCACATGTTTCATTTTTCTGAAAGTTCAACTTTTAAGCCACCACACCTTATGTGTACCACATGTCCTATATGATGTACATTCCTGAATTTACGATTATATATTTCCTATGAAACATTACCTATGAAGCATTTATATCGGAACAGAACTATGAATTTCGATCTCTAGTTTTAGCTGGATTTCAAATTCGTGTGATTGATTCGGAAGGTTAGAATTGAATAAAATCAATTTCGTATTTACTCGAATAAGCGCCGCGGCGCTTATTTAACTTTTCGTGTCTCCGGTGCGGCGCTTATTCGAGGGCGGCACTTATTTAAAAGGCTCATACCACAAAGACAAGACATTTTGATTGTACAATTAAATTCACTTCATGAGTATTTTTTCATGGCTTACCGGCTTCAAGCTGACCTAAGTTTTGGCTTTCATGACAGCCTCGTCAATACTTTTCTACAGTTTTTCAACAACTCTTAACTCGATGTCAATGTCCTGACTGTTGCTGTTCGTGAACTATCGCTTTTTTTGACCTTCTTCTTACTAGCAAACGCTGACAATCTCCTTACTGTAACGGTTACAGGGAAGAGAAAGAGGGAGGTTGGGCTTGTCGTACCGGCGAAGTTTACAGCCTTCACGCAAGAACTGAAAACGCGAAGATTTAGAAGAGAGAACTGAATGAAAGAGCGTCGAGATATACTCACTTTGAACTAAAAAACATCGCTATTGATGAAAATAAGTTCCCACTGCTGGTTTAGAACCGCATTGCAGCCATTACAGTGTATTTTTATCGTCTTAAAAAAATACTCGAATAAGCACCCAGCTTATTCTGGTGCGGCGCTTATTCGGGTAAATATGGTATTTAACATCATTCTTGACAACGTCTTGACAACGATTTTTGCGGTAATAATTGAAACCAAAACATGTTGTATTGATAGCACCGGCTAACCAACATGGACCATTTTCCTACAGGTCATGCCTTTAACTGTATAAAGTGCTTTGGTAACATGGAGAAATGTAACAGCAGGAACGCTAAAAGCGTTACTTGTGTGACCGGCCAGGACAGATGCGCGAAATGGATGACGAGCAAGGACGGCAGAGAATATGGCATATACGGGTGCGCAACTGAACAGGACTGCATGACAGTTCCCGAATCTTGTAGAGCGGTCGAGAGAGACAACGCCAGGGCAGAGTGTTTGGCGTCCGAATGCTGCAGTACACCGTCTTGCAATGTACCTCCACCAAAAAGTATGGTGCCTCACTTTGTTATAACATTCAAACTGAATTTTATTGTTGTTAATCACACTATAGGATCATCTCCAGGATGACCGGTGGGTAGTAGGTAACAATTTCGTTTTAAACTAGCCCTTTATGTGTTGGTAAGTCACATGGCACGAGAACGGCAACCTGGAGAACAAGCAACATGTAGGACCTTAACGGTCTTTTGTATCCGTTTGAATGGGGTCGAAAGTTTTAACTAATTTGAACTGCCTTAGCGAAACAACCTCATCCAGGCTAGTCCAACAAGCTCATGGCTTTCTATCACCAACTTCGTTGTGATATGTCATCTTCAGAATCAAAACTGATAATATATTTCATTTATAATAACTCTCAGATGACAGATTGAAGTGCTATATGTGTCAAAGCACCATTTCCATGGACGACTGCGAACAAAATAGAGAGTCTGGACGCTGCAGAGAGGGACAAACAAAGTGTGGCAAGTTTACCACTGAATTGATGATGCAAGGAAAGAAACTCATGCTGTATCGAAAGGGATGCCAAAACAACACGACCTGTATACAGGAAAATGATTTGTACGGCCAGGCTTGTGGGTCTGACGACACCTGCGAATTTAAGTGTTGTGAAGGAGATTTGTGTAATGCTGGCTCATTTGCTTCTGTCAGCGTTGTCTCCCTCTTTATATGCGTTTTGCTGTCTATTCGTTACGACTAAGACAGTGTGCTATATGGTAACACCAACGGCAATGCGACAGCTGCACAATATTTACAGGCAATCATATTAAAGAATAACTCAGCTTTAATGGCACATTTGTAGTAGTTAAGAGACATGCTGTTTTTACTGAGGAAATTACCGCGAGAAGTGTAAGTTAAGCTACATAAGAAAAAAGCGCCACTTAATGGCTGGTAAATGTTTCCTAGATGCATATTTTGTTCCTGATTTTTCTTTAGTTATCCACAAAGACGAGCACAATAACTACATTAGCGTAGATTTTACAGCTATTTAAGCTTTTAGGTCTTAAGAGGTTAAGTAAGCTAGTCATTCTCAATATGTGACAATTTTGAAAATTGTTTGAAGTTCTGAAATGATCGTGGTATTTAGATCATGTTTTAATCATTAATTAGCGATAAAAAGATGTAAGATTACGGGATGCCTCTCAACATGCAAAAGTAAATACAAGGGGGTAGGGAAGACCCAGGAAGGGGGCTCGGATCCCCTCCTCTCCACTCATAAGGCTATGGGAAATTATTCTAGAGATTAACTCATTGTTTTTTACCTCTGGAAGTGCGTCTACTAAGATCTACGAAGCAATGTTGGAAACCCATTTCTTTTTCTTAAAGTAACTGTAGAATAACTTTGCTGGATCATTCATTTTGTTAAGATTGAGAATTTTTGCTCTAATATTATATTTGATCAACAAATTCTTGACAATCTCAAAGTTTATGTTGTCCTTCTATTACTGGAGTGCTGGCGTTGTTATGTTTTCAGTGAAAAAGGTCACATGCGATAGGTTTTACGCAAATAACAAAGTGAAACAACTTTTTTAGATCCAGAACAGACACAAAAAAAACCTGTATTTCTAAATGTCCGCTAATTTTTAAAAATATTACCATGACGTCTTCTATAGACGTCATCAGTTTGAAATCAGTATGAATACATATCAAATGTTAAAACCAGGTCGAAAAAGAACAGCTATGATCACAAGAAAAAAAAACTTTACAAGATTAAGGTTTGTATAGGTGTTCTTTAAACTAGAACACTGATTAGCATTGATATTTTTGTATAGCAAAGTTGTAATAAACATATAATCTATTAGAAAGCAAGCCATTTGAAAAACGTTTAGTGTTCAGGTATTCATATTAGTCTACACTGATCAATTTTCTTTTATACCTTGGAATTGAACTATGCAGTGGATGGCCTTTATGTTTGAACTTGCAAAACAGACGATGGTCTTTGTGCGAATTCCAGAGCACTTTCAGTGGTGCAGTTGGGGTGGTGATGTTCACTCGGTTAATATCTTAGGCTCTATTTTTTGTTCCTGGCACTCCTAGGCTGTGTTCAAACTTTACTGGATAGCGCTTTTGCGCCGCCGCGAAAATCATACGGGATAGCGCTTCTGGTCACATATAGAAACGATTGTGGTGGCGCGATTTCTGTGACGGAGCGAAGCTGCACCACGCCAATCTCTAAAGTGGAGATTCACATATCGGATACTGACTCGTTCACACTATAGCGGCAGATTTTAGCGAAGTTACCGGACAAATAACTTTGAGTTTTAATCTTAGAAGAGAGTGGGCGTGAAAAAAAGTTAACGCAGCAAAAGTGTATTGTATTCCTTTGCTTTCAAGGCAAGATGGTTGGGATTAGCAACTTAAAGGTTTTGTCTTCGAGTATGCCGGACTTAAAGGGATAAGAGCAATGGAAAAGTGTTTGAAAAGTAGTACTCTCACCTAATCCACAATCAAGATCCTTAATTCGCCACATTTTCCAACAACATGCACGGAGGACTCAACTACATAGAGACGCTTCGTGTGCTCATAAATGGAGAAACTGTTTTCCATAAAAGCGGAAGTCAGGGAAACACATTGCATGAAGCTGAAGTTACTTATCGAGAGGGTATATCGTCGGTAAGAATACAACAGGAAGCTAAATTGTATGTGTATGTTGCATGAGCAGTGGCTCACGATGTATTAACATCAGCTCTGATGTGGCAAAAAACCACACTTCGTCTTGATCAATAAAAAATGCAGGAAAAAACAACAAAACCTCAATTTGGCCAATATCAAGCCATCTTGACCAAACAAGGTTGATCAATGACGCAAATGTATATGAATCGGTACGTATGAAACGTCTGTCTTCTTCCGAGCTACGTTCACCATTTTCAGCTAGTGTAGTATGCTTATTTTGCAACAAAACAGTAAATAATAATAACAAAACGCGAAGATGTAAAAAAGCAAGGCCTCTGTAAAATAATCTGAGGAAAACTCCGTCTTCGGAAAGTCTCTTAATAGTACTTCTTCAGTTTTTTTTTTTTGCGGGAAAAGTTTGTTCTGGGAAAGTCTTTTAAAGTGTTTTTTTTTGTTTTTTTTTTTTGGGGGGGAGGGGGTGGGGTTGGGTACTTATTTGAGTTCGAGGGAGAGGGAGAGAGGGCGGTGGGGTGGGGTGGGCGCTTATTCGAGGCTGGGCGCTCATTAACTCTTTCTGCTTTTAGGATGGGTGCTTATTCGAGGTTGGTGCTAATTCGAGGTTGGGCGCTTATTCGAATAACTACGGTATACAAGGAACGGATTGGACAATTTACATTTGAGAATGTAAAACATTATAAGTTATAACCTCAAAATTTCAAAATGACACAATAAAGTGACAGATACCCTGCAAGCAGAGGCTACATTTTTGCTGTGCGAGCTGTCGTGCAAAAAGTAGCCTCTGCCGACAACCGTTCAAATCCGTCCAGAAATTTGGACGAATAAATTAATAAAACGGGTTTTTTCCTGTTCTTCACCGGTTAAGACCATTCCGTGAGTCTCGCAAAACTCGTGCCATTTGACGACAGGCCTGACGATTAATTACATACATACATACAAATTTATTGGCTCGTCCCCGCAGGGCTTTTCAAAGTCAATGTTACTGTAATAGTATTAAACACAGAAAGCTAAAAACACGAAAAATAATTAACTAACTAAAGGTAGGGCTGTCCACAAGTTGCTCCAATTTTCTCAAAAAGTTGCTCAAAAGTTGCCCCAAAATCCAAAAGTTGCTCAAAAGTTGCTTTCAATTTTTTAGTGTAAGAGATTGATTAACAACTTAAATAAAGATTTAATGAATAGATTTAACTTTGCATAGATATTATATACATTATTATGTCATACTGACTCATCAATATTGTAAGACTGAGTCTCTCTCAACCCAAATCTTAAAAATCTGATTCTCTGTATTGGCTTTCTATTACGATAACCACGTGACTGTATTCGAACAAAACAAACTTTGCTAATATGCTTATTAAATATATAAAGTTTCTCTGACATACACGAGTGTATGTGGTATAGTCTTTCAATATTTACATCTTTGCGGATGTAGTACAGAACACTGTCCCTGTTGTTGGCTCCGCCATTTTGAATTTTTCAGCATATCCGCTGACCACCTTCAGCTGCTACCACAGGCAGACCACCAGGGGAAAAGTGTTTTTTGTTTACAAAAGGTATTTTACGCAAAATCATGCATAAAAGCAACTGATGCTTTAAATTAGAACTTGAATGAGCGGTTTTTAGTTACAAATTGCCTTAAAAAAGTAAGAAAGTTATTCAAAAAAGAAAAAAGTTGCACGAAATCCGAAAAGTTGCTCGAAGGACTAAAAGTTGCTCCAAATCTGAAAAGTTGCTCAAAAGTTGCCGAGCAACTTATGGACAGCCCTAACTAAAGGAGGCGTCCAGAAGAAGTCGTCTAAGTTGACGCTTAAAACTTTTAATGGATTCGCCTAGTTTGAACTCTGGTTGCAACTTATTCCAAAGGGATGTCGCTCTATATTCGAAGGATCTTTGGCCACTAGCAGTGCGCAGTACGCAATTTGGCTTGCGAATCGCGTAACGAATTTTGCGCATGCACGCTAGAAAATTGAACGGTTGTCGGCAAGCTACTCTTCGCGACGCCATCTCACAAAGCGAAAATGTAGCCTCTGCTCGCAGGGTAAGTGACAGAGGGATGGCATTTCCCAAGGGTTATAAACCGCCTCTTTAATCATGCGTTTGGAAGATGGTGCTAGAATAATGGCGTATTTCAAAAGACTCACTTGAGTAAAAGTAGCGACATCGCAGAGTTAAGCTACGTATTTGAAATGTGCCAAGTATGAACCTTAACAAGTAGAAAAGTGATGGATGTCATAACCTTCTTAACATGCAAGCCTCTGAGGATGCGGGTTGTTCTTCGCCTCGTATATAAACCAAGGTTATGCTGGTGTAGCGCTTACGAAGACCATCGTCACTCTCAGAGAGAGAAAGAGAAGGAGAAAGTCGTATCTCTGTAGGTGATACTTTTAAGTGTGTTCAAAACTAATGGCTGTCATACTAAAAGAGGTAGCGTTAACTACGTACCCACTTAGCATTGGTGTTTTGGCTTAATATTTATCCGCTTCACTTTGATCTGACAGGTTGTGTTTGAGGGTGTTGTAGGCAGGAGCTGCCTTTCGGACATTGCTATCGATGGGATCAAGACAGAAACCTGTGGGGGAGGGGGAGGAGCTGACGGAAGTAATTACTCTCAATCCCGCTTTCTTTCATGTCGTGAAATTAAAAAGAAAAACAGCCAAACATTATCAATGTATAACAAATTTCATACACCGCTTTCATCAGCAGCTATTCCACCACTTTCACATCCGAGCACCACACCAAAAGCGCCAGAGACACCGCCTCCTCCTCTCGGTAAGTTACCAAGAAATTTGCACTCACCCAAAATTCTACACGCTACTCCATCAGATCACCAGCACCAGATCACCTCTTAGATAAGACTCTGCCCAAAATCAGATGCAAATGTTTTGTTATTCTGTAGGTAATTGTGGCATTCGTCCTTCTTCTAGAATTGTTGGTGGTGTGGACTCATCTCCAGGAGACTGGCCATGGCAGGTCATGTTGACGTCATCCCCAAATGGTACGTGTTCTGTGGTGGATCATTGGTTGCTCCTCAGTGGCTAGTTACAGCTAGTCATTGTGTTAAAGGAACTT